ATTTTTATTGATTTCAAAGAGGAAGGGAGGGGGAAAGAGAAAGAGAGAAACCTCAATGATGAGAGAGAATCATTGATCGGCTGCCTCCTACATGCCCCCTATTGGGGATCAAGCCCACAACCCAGGCATGTGTCCTTGGCTAGAATCGAACCCAGGACACTTCATTCCACATGCTGACTTTCTGTCCACTGAGCCAAACCAGCCAGGGCAAGAGGGCACATTTTAGTGTCCCAAACATCACACACACACACACACACACACACAATTAAGATCACATGGGAGTATCTATCACTCATCACCTAGCACTCAACAGTATGTGAATGGAGATTGCCAAGGTGGACTCATTTATGTCAGAACTGAAATGAAGCCAGGAAGTCAGGAAGAAGTTTGTCTTGAAGCGTAGTAACCTCCATCTTGGGTAAAAACTGCTGTTTAAAATTTTAACCCTGCTATTCTGGCTTCTGTAAACGTTTGCTTGCTTAAACAATAGGGAAAAATAAGACTACTCTCATTCCAGAGAGGCCATAACTATGCCCCAGACCACGGGTCCTCAAACTACGGCCTGCGGGCCACATGCAAATACAAATATGGTATTTGTTCCCATTTTGTTTTTTTACTTCAAAATAAGATATGTGCAGTGTGCACAGGAATTTGTTCATAGTTTTTTTTAAAACTATAGTCCGGCCCTCCAACGGTCTGAGGGACAGTGAACTGGCCCCCTGTTTAAAAAGTTTGAGGACCCCTGCCCCAGACAGAATTGTCAGTGCTGGCGCCAGGCCAGGCCCTGAGATATGGTCTCACGGCCCTGTCCCAGCATACAGGGCCTTTTTCTCAGAAGGTCTGGAAGTCTCATTGAAATTTAGAAGACAAAGAACTGAAAAAGATATAAATAGAAAAGACATCCTCTATTTGGGGCCTCAGAATTTGAGAAGCAATATTTCCTCTGGGCCTGCTAGCACTAGCGAAATAAAAAGACTCCAAATTAATTTGGCTTATTGATTAAGGCGTCTTCTGATTTACAATATAACATTTGGGGGCTCGTCTGGAATAGTGCTTACCAGCACTCTGTCTCAGACGCCGAAGGCCGACAGCCTCTCCAGGCCTGGCTGCCGGCCCCGAGAAGGTCCCCAGGGGATGCACCCCCTGGAAAGCTTCCAGGGCCCGGGAGACACTCCTTAGTGGTTCTGGCAGCCAAACGGAGGATGCCTGACATGCCCCTGCATTCTTTCGGAGTCAAAAAAAAACAACAACAACAACAATAAACCTCCAGAGGTGAGTAAATCTGATTAAGTAAATTTGAGTTCATCTTCCTGTTTGCTTGTTTATGTGACCAGTCATTTTGCTACTGAGAAGAAGGACTGGATGCAGTCACAGTTGTAACTTCTCCACTAGGTTCTCACCAAGACGTTGGTCTAGAACCTGTTCTTGGGGCATGGGTTCAGGGGGGCCCCCACGTCTGTTTCTGTTAGGCCTCCAAGTCCATTTTTGTTAGGGGAGTTGGGCAGGAATCTGACTAACTGTTTAACTTCCAAGCATATGTCTGCTGAAGTGCAGTCCGCGTTCAAGCCTGCCTTTGGGGGCAGGGGAGGTGGCTTGGACTGACTGGTATGTAAATATAAGTCTAAAAGCTGCTTTGTATTGTCCTGTGCTTTTGTGTGCTTTTGTTAACTGTGAGAGATGTCTGGCTAAAAACGTAGGAGTATTTGTTGATGTCTTTGTCTCTTTGTTTAATTTGTTTGGGGCAAACCAGCCCTGCTTTGTGGGGGAAGCCCAGTAGGACTGGACTGTAAGGGAGATTGCAGGAGGACATTAACCATCCTTCTCTTTCTTTTTAAAGTATTAGCTCGCCAAAGAACTCTTAGCTAGGAGGTTTCTATCTGTAAAGTAGAGACTTTAATTTGCTCTTCCCTGATTTATGATTTTGCTGTGTTGGGCTAGATTTAAAATTCTAAGGTTAATTTAAAGGTATAAAATTTGTAAAGATTAAAACCCAGGCAAGTTTACTACTTAGAAGGAAAAGAGAGAAAAAAGTAAGTTCTAAAGTTAACTATTTGCAAAAAAGTGTAAAGTCATAAAAATGTCAAAGAGAAGTTTAAACAAAGGGCTAATTTATTGCTAGACTGTTAATTTCTGGCTCTTATCTCTTCCTACCAGGAGAAGGGGAGAGGGGGGAAAATAAAAAACTAAGGAAAAAAAGAAGCCGAGTCCTGCCGCCTGGAGACGAAGGCTGGGAGCAGTGGCCTACTCGGGAGGCTGAGGCTGGAGGATCACTTGAGCCCAGAAGTTCTGGGCTGTAGTGCGAATGTCCGCACTAAATTCGGCACCAATATGGTGACCTCCCGGGAGCGGGGGACCACCAGGTTGCCTAAGGAGGAGAGCGGGTAGACAGACAGGGGGCTTTTTGGAGAAGCCAGGGTCTAATTGCAGGGCGCATTTCTCTGGCCTGCATGGGGGTCCCTAGTCCCTGCCCCGCCACCATCCCTGGATAGAGGCAGAGGCAAGAGCCTTTCCTGGTGGGAAGAAAGAGGGGGAGTGATTTGGGGGTCAGCTATGGCTGTCTGGAAAAGGGGAGCCTTTGCTTAAGGCTTGCTGCTGGTTCAAGGGACCCTAAAATCCAGATCCTAACGGGTTAAAGAAAATAAAGCAGGACAGTAGAAGGAGTCAAAAACGAACCAGACCCTTGTCAGCAAAGTGGCTTGCAGCCAGCAAAAAAATCCTATATAATAAAAGGCTAATATACAAATCGACCGAATGGCAGAACAACTGGTCGCTATGATGCGCACTGACCACCAAGGGGCAGACGCTCAATTAGGAGCTGCCCCCTGGTGGTCAGTGTGCTCTCACAGAGGGAACACCGCTCAGCCAGAAGTCAGGTTCACATCTGGCGAGCACAGTGGCAGTGGCGGGAGCCTCTCCCACCTCCGCGGCAGTCAGACATCCACCAAGGCCTCCCAGACTGCAAGAGGACGGGCTGAGGACCCCCCTCCCCGCAGTGCACGAATTTCGTGCACCAAGCTTCTAGTAAATAAATAAAAATCTCTCTCTCCCTACTCTCTTCGCTGATGCCCCCCTTGGTCTCAGCCCACCTGCAGAAGTACAGAAAAGCTGTTAAAGGAAGCTCAGAATATCTATATACATAAAATAAGAAAGGCAAAAACACAAAACTAGCATTATGTTCACAATTGTAGAACAAGTGGCCTAGGGAAGGGCTGGCCCCAAGGGCCAGAAACAGAAACTACAGTAGTAACCTTAGATATTATCTCTAAGGAAGAATGTAGCAGTTTAAATCCAAGCCTGTTCCTATAATAATTTTCTTAATTAACTTAAAGGCTTTGAAGCATTGCTGGGTTAAATGGTAAACATCTAAATTCTTTTTTTTAAAAAACAAACTGAAACATTAACTGCTAAACAAGTTTTCATTTACCTGCTCTTAGTTTTATTACAGAAGGAAGGTCTCTTAAACTTTGTTAAAGGTATATTTTCTTGAAAGTAAAAGTACATTTAAAATATGTTCATAAATGTTAATCTAAAAAATGCTGGTTGTTTACTTTTTAATAATTATTGAAAAATTAAGGTTTCTAAAAATAAAAAATTCTAATACATTTTAAAGAATAAAAAAAGGACTACAAGTTGCTGATAGTATGACAGAAAGAAAAAATATTAAAGTAGAAATACTTAATAGAAGGACTAAGACATGATTATGCATTTTTAAAAGACATAAAAAGAAAATTTAAAGACTAATTTGAAAATATGAAATTTATTAAAATTATATGTATAATAAAAAGTATACTAAAAAGAAATTGATTAAATAATACAGGCCAGCGACCTGACACCCAAATTGCTGCCCAGTAAATTATGAGTGTTTTACAACACATAATAAAAAACTTAAGCATTTGGCTTGCTGGTTAAAAGAAGATAAACAACTGGGCCCTGGTATCTGTAAAAGTGGCCGGGGATGAAGCTGGTTAAGTTTCCTATTTGCAACTGTGCTGAAAGGGTTAAAACTTCAGCACTTCAACTGCAGCTGACAGTGGCCTGCAGAAAACTGTGTAATGGACTTACATGATACCTGTGTCTTCATGGACATAACTCCAAAGACACAAAAACAAATTTTGCTTTGTGTGGGAAGGTAAAAAAAATAGACTTTAGTTACCTCCCTGAAATGTTTGTATAACCCTACCATATGTCATGTTTGGTAGCAGAAAATTTGGCTGCCTGAAGTAGCCATATTGTACTTCATTATGTTAATATGTTATATTAACCTTTAATTCTCTTACAGATTTGAATGCAGTTGCCAAAAGGGCAGATGCCCAAATAGTCACGGAAAAATACCCATCGGGTTTCAGTCTCTATTGAAAGACAGTTGGCAGCCTATGTACTGCCTTGCAGGCCTGTATGACCATGCCCATATCAGGGGTGGCACAAACCTCAACTTTAGGAAAATGCGGAAGGCCTATTTAGAACAGGGAAGTAGTGAGTACCAGCCCTCTGTCACAGGAATTACAGACCCTGTGAGGTCCTGTGACATATAAGACCCTGTGAAGGGATAAAGCTCCCTTAGTTCATTCTGAGAGGGCATGTCACCCCTCCCAGAGACCATATATAGCTTAAGGACAAGTAAACTAGTGGGAACCCTACCTACTACAGGGACAGCTATGACTATCTATATGGATATAGACACATTTTAAATTTCTTCTTGCCATTTGAAGACAGTTACTGTTTTGTTATAATACATTTAGAAAAATATTACTCTGAAAAGTCCATAAAAAGGACTGACAAGGAAAATCAGAAAATCTTAAAGCAGGTCAGTATATTTTTCTCCTTACACAATTCCTCCTAAATTTGGCAATTCTTAATAAAGAAATCATGGCAATGCATTTTTTTGCATAAATTCAATAAGACCGGTTTCCAATAGTGGCTTTATTGACCAAAAACTTTGACTGGAGTATCATGTTTTAAAGAGCCCTGTCTGGACTCTGAAGACTTGAAGCCAATACGAGTGCCATGGAGAAAGCCTGGTATCCTACTAGGTAGCCCTGAAAATAGATGGCCCTGGAGCATCAGGCCCATGCCCTACCATCACTGGCAGTTAGTCAGAATAGAAGGGGGGCAATAAGGGTGCCTCTGCGTCCCTGCGGGACCCCCACACACTCTAGGCTGCAAGGAGTAGGAGGGCTACTGAGATGGGCCTTAAAGCCTAGGGCATGGGCCCGGGTAGAGTCACTGCAGATGAGGAATTCACCTAACTCAGCAGATACTGCAGGCAGGCCTGAGGGCAGCTGGATGGCTTGGCTTCCTGGCCCTACAGGGCACATTATGATTCAATCATAAAATTCCGGCAATGGTAGTCAGTTACCATTCTTGTTGTGTTTATGCAAATGATCAGGCCAAATTGAATACAACAGATAAATTGGTCTTGATTTAGCACTTTTAATAAACATAAGAATAATTTTAAAAAGAAAAATTCTATTTCAATAAAAATTATAACTAAAGTGCTTTCTTTCCCTTCCACCAAACCATTTGTTATAACTCTTGCTATTCTAAATACTCAATAATACTAAATTTTATAATTCAGTTTGTCTCCGCCAGGTCACAAGCCAGCACCTCCTTCTGTGCCCAGGCCTCATCGTCCCTCTGACAGACAGCAAGGATCTCTGGGCTCTGAAAAGAAAACTCCGTCCCTCTTCAGCATGGAAGTAGCCAGAAGAGCCCACTGACATCCATTTTCCCTAAAAGAATTCAAAACCAGGATCATTGAGGTAATATATTAGGCCATTAGACAGACATAAGCAGAGCAAGGACGATGGGCCAACTGGCACTACCAAATGTAACGAAGTCTTTCCACCTCTACATATATGAGACAAGGGGCATAGCCAACGGGGCTCTCCCCCAAAGTCTCGGCCCCTAGAAAAGGCCGGTAGCCTACTTGTCCAGAAGACTTGACCCCGTTGCATCTAGGTAGCCTGCCTGCCTCCCGGCAGTAGCAGCCGCCACTATACTTGTCAAGGAAGCAGACGAAGCGGGCCAGGAGGCTGTCCTAAAACCAGTGGGGCCTCTTCAGATTCTAAGGATTCTTCCAGACCCTGACCTACCCACCTCACCAGCTTACACGGAACCACACTAAGCTTGCAAAGCTTCTAAGAAATAAGTACTATCTACCCAATCTAGAAAAGCTGAAATCCATAATCAATCTTTACTCAAGTCTACCCAGGCTTTACAGTCCACCCAGAAAGCAGTCCAGAAGCATGTCCAAGACACTCTGCCTGTACCAACTTCTGATCCAGTCCATCCCTTCCGCCCTGGTGCCTCTGTTTAGATAAAAAAAATTTGCCACCCAAGGACTGACTCCTACCTGAAAAGGACCATACACCATCATCTTGACCACCCCCACGGCAGTCAAGGTCGAAGGAATCCCGACGTGGCTTCATCACACCCGGCTTAAGGCAGCCCAGGCAGAGTAGAGAGTCCATGACTCTTCGGACCCTCTAAAGATTACTCATGGCCCTCATCTGGGCCCTTATGAACTGGCTTACTGACTTTATTCGACAGAAAATTAAGATTATACTCCTCAGGGGTTAATATAACTCCCTCCTTGACAATGACCAAGAGTCAATGGTTTGATTCGTGTACATAAAACCAGTGGGGAATGAAGCATAGTAACCTCCATCTTGGGTAAAAACTGCTATTTAAAACTTTAACCCTGCTTTCTGGCTTCTGTAAATGTTTGCTTGCTTAAATAATAGGGAAAAATAAGATTACTCCCATTCCAGAGAGTCCATAAACTATGCCCCAGACAGAATTGCCAATGCTGGTGCCTGGCCAGGCCTTGAGATACAGTCTCACAGCCCTGTCCCAGCACACAGGACCTCTTTCTCAGAAGGTCTGGAAGTCTCATTCTGAGAAGGCTAAAAAGGGATAATTCAAATGTAACCCTGATATTTTGGGGGCTAGCAATTGGAATTCATGCCAATAAGCTCAGTGTGCATTCTTGATGACCTATATTTAGGTCATCGCCTCCTTCCCAGAAACTGGTCTTGCAAGGCGTGTCAGGCCATAGAAACTGTGAACAATGAACTGCCCTGGGGCAGGGAGGGGGAAAGTAGTTATCGCTGGCCCCAGGACAGAATGTACTGGGCTGCATATCTGGCACTTCGGCCAGGCGGGGCACACTGTCCTAGAACACATAGATAGGAAGGTACTGACATCAGGCCAGGCCTTGAGATATGGTCTCATGGCCCCTTCCCAGCACACAGGCCTTCTTTCTCAGAAGGCCCGGAAGTCTCATTCCAAATTTGGGAGACAAAAGACTGAAAAAAGTATAAATAAAGAGAGTTTCCTCCATATTGGGGGGCCCAGAATTTGAAAGACACATTTTTCTCTG